CAGTCTTTACTGCCTCTACAAAAATTCTTAGCTAACGAATACCTTGCAAATCTTTTATTCAAAGGAGGATGATAAGAAGATCATGACAGAATTTACTTCAGTTGACCGCCTGAAATAGATAACAAAATATCTGCCCCGTCGACTAAAGACAAATGAACCCAGGCAAAATCTCGAAGACTTGCTTCACCGACCTTCACTGAAACAGCATAACCGGTATGTATTGCTTATTTTTAAACAGAACTCTAAATCGTTTGTAAGATTATCTTTTTGCAAATAAATAGACGCGTTTTGAGACAACCCCACGCACTTGCGTGGCCCTTTATAGTTTTCTAAATGTTCAGTACAGTTGCAAAGATTTTCCGGTCTTCGGATGACCATCTTAATTGCAATATTGAGGGGGGCGTAAGGGTTTCCGGTATTGCGGTATTGGGTCATTTTTGGTGCGGTGTTGCGGTAATTTTTATTTCAAAGTACGGTATTGCGGTTTTCAGAGTCCAAGCGGTTTGCGGTAAGTTTAAATTTTACGCCGCGGTAGTCGGTGAAAAAACCTTTGTGTCGCGGTGATCTGCTTCTTTTTCATGACAAGAGGATACAAATCCTAAAAGGTCTCCCTGGCTAGCCTGCGTGACCTGTGTGCACAGTCGGGGATTGTATTGCGCAAACAGTGCAGACAAATCGTATGGCTTCTAATTTCAGTTAATACTTGATATGATTAACGACATTAACTTTTTCATCCAATAATACGTAAACATGTCGCATTATTTATGACTTCATGGACCTTGTAGGAATAGTCAGCTTGGTTAACCTCCTTTAAACCAATCTTACCACCACTTTTGTGCCAGTCGCCAAACAATAGAGAGCGATCCAGCGGGGTCAACTAAGTGATCAGTCAGATATTCCAGGAAATAGTGAGGTCAGTGAGATTGTTATAAATTGCGTAGTGTAGAAAGATAATCTATAAAGATGGCGTGGTCTAAAAATTACTACTTGTCCTTCTCGTTGTGCATGCAGGAATTACCCTACCCTGCTTACCCTACGTAGCATAGCATCTCGGGGGTGGTGGTGGTGGTGGGGGGTACTTCCTGCTTCCTGATAAGAGGCTAATGAGGATGTGCCGCTGGATGGGGTCGCATTTTCACGACTGGATTGACTATAATGGGGTCGCATTTTCAGAGAGTTTTTTTAGAATGGGGTCGCACATTTTCTGCTTTTTTGGGGTAAGACAGTTCCTCATATTTACGGTTAGCAAAGGTACCAGAATGTTTGTATTGTAGATGAAAAGTAAAGTGTTCTTCATTCAATCTAAAACAAGGTCAATTCATAAAAATAGAAAGTGACGAAGTTGGGATCGCGAAAATTAAATATTTGTTCAAATGACTAAGATGGGGTCTATAATTGGCCACAGAATAGACTGTAATGGGGTAGGGGCTCTGAGAGGCCAGCGGCAATCAAATATTAACCCAAGTACCCCCCCACCCCGGGCATGGTAGTTTTACATGGTTTTGTCGGCAGCACCACCGTGAGCGGCGAAGCAGCTCCCGCCCCAATCTCCTCGCCCGCGCCCGCCTTATTTCGACTTATTATTTAGCGCGCCTAACCAAAACCGCCATGGTACGCAGGCTAGTGTGTACTGTGTGCCCTTCGAATCCAAAAAGGCAGCCCGGGTCGTCGTTTTGAAACATTCAACACAGAACCGAGTTAATTGTGAATCTGAAACAACCAAGAGTCAACTGTTTTCCGTCCGTTTATGATCCAAGTCCAGTAATATATAAAGTGATACTAGAAAACTCCTGTTGTATCATTTACGTAAACGTATACATGTAATAAACAAAGCTAAACGAGTGCGATGATCTTATGTTTATCGTACGCTTGACATCGACGCACCTTGATTTGGAAACACTGACATAAAAGTATTATTTCTATTTGAAAGGAGGGTTTGTAGTATTGACAACGTCAACTTTTTCCCATTTGTAACTGCGGTTTCGGTATTTGGCTAAATTTTGATGCGGTATTGTGGTATTCTCGCGCTACCACGTGCGGTATTGCGGTATTCGTACCCCCCTTACGCCCCCCTCAATATTGTACTGCTGTTACAGAGCTATCATACGCTATTACAAAGCTTTTTTTTAGATGTAGCTTTGAGTCGCGCGTTGCTCACGATGACCACGCACACGCGTGCGTGCGCGCTTGTTCCCCACAGGCGTATCGCTGAAAGACTGTAATTTTTCGTGCGTTAACCAGTGAACTTAAAAACGAAATATTTTCGTTTATTTCAGAAATATCACCAAATTTGAACGACTGAGGGAATAAACAACTTTGAATGAAGCTCGACGAGTACCCATATTTTCATTACAAGCAAGACAAGTCCTGATCCGGCGGATGAGTTACCCTCAACGAGCCACTGCTTGGAATAGGATCTTTTTTTACTTTCTAGTAGAAAAACGTGGCTTGTAGAACAATGAAGGGCACTGGTACTTTTAGATCATATGCTCCGCTTCAATCATTAGCCAAAGAAAGAAAGTTACATGTACAGTGGGTGAGGAGTTGACTCTTCACTGGCAAGATCTTACAATTATTATATCATTGAATCTCACGACATTCTTAATTCCCTATGTATTTGACAAAGCAGTTTTGGCAGGAAAGGCACTTATACCTTAAGGGTTTAATTTAATCTAAGTACTGTATCACTATTGATCCTGGAGTTACCTGAATTTTTTCTGCTTAAGGATGTTTCTGTTTTACAATCATATGCCAGTGTACAAAGTCTTGTTTTGCAGTCTTGTGAGAGACATGCAGTATTCAGTTTAAATTTGCTATAGTTTAGGAAGCAGGGCTGATTGTTTAATCATTCCTTGTTCTGCTTTAAATACTTGTATTAAGAAACATAAGCATTTTTTACTTGCAATGTTGTATGATTATCTTTTTTATGAAGTTAGTGGTCAACTATGTTGTTGTTGTTTGTAGAGAACGGTTAACATAACCATTAAAAATGTTGCTGAAGACTATTATTGTGAGGTTAATGTAATTCATTATTATTAGTTAAAACAACTGTTTTCTTCTAACCCATATGGAATGGTTAAAGCTACCACCTCTTGACTATTTTAAATGGGTTACCACAGATTCATCGCTAGTACCCAAAAAACTGGTTTACCATGACCACAAAAAATGGTTATTATAACTTATCTGTATGGGTTGAAACATATTTTAATATCTTTTTATTTCGGTTATAACAACTAAAACTTTAAAGTTAGTTTAACCAAAAAGTAGAGGTTACGACAAACAAGTCATAAGAAGTGACGTGGGCTGTGGTAGAAACAACCATTTTTAAGGGTTAATGTAACCCATAAAGAAAAGCTATTTCAACGGGAATAAAAAATGGTTAACCTGAACTATATTTTTTTGGTTACTGTAACCTAATAAAATACGGTTACCTGGGATTCAAACCTTAACCATTTTTTTGAGGTCACTATAACTGGTCAGTTTTTACAGTGTATGAACCCACGGTATTCTGGCGTACGGAATTGACGTCACAGGAATGGGAACCAGTGGTACATTAATCCAGGTCTAAAAAAGAAAGCACAAAGAGACTGTGGTAGAAACTACCTGACTTTTTTAGTTAATGAAGCTTGTTTAAAAAGTATGTACTCTATATACTGTAGTGTAGTTGGGTAATTAACGTGCACAAGCAAGGTAAAATAAAATGTGTGAATGAAGGAACGTGCGTAAAAGGTTCGTAAGTTAGCCCTGAACTCATGTTCGTTAACTATTTGCAAAATAGTGTCTTGAAAAGTAAATAGAAGTCAGTACGACTTTTCCCGTCGTTCCGGTGAAATCCGCTGAACGGCAACGGAACGGAACGTTTTCCCGGACAAAGTGGTGGAATGTAAATCGACTACCAATATTTCTTTAAATCAATTTGTGATACCAATTTCAGGCTCTCGCCGCCATTTTTCGGTATATGGACTTTTTTTGGCAAATGTAAGTAGTAATCCCCACTGTTTCCAACACCGACGTACACTTAACTTCACTTAGTCTGATCGGTGTTGTTACTTTTCCAAGCAGTCTGTTTCGATCGATGACATCCTGTATGTGCTACGACCTTGTTAAATGCAGTTTTAAAAATGTCTAGAAGCGCTATATGGCTCATAAGGAACAACATAGATAAAGAAATTTCTATGCTTTGTACCTTTAAAACAGGTGTAGTTATGGCAGTTAGTACATGGCACATCATTCCAATTGTAACCATGCTTGGCGCCAAGGGTGTGAACACAGTCTTCGTTTTTCCAGTCATTCGGTTGCTGTGGGGCCTAGAACCTAAAACTATTTATTTCTTTGTTTGTCCACACAAAGGAGCCCTCCACACTTCGGTAGTTAAGTCCAATCCAAGATCTCTCTCCGCTGTGACGATGTTGAATGTAGACATTTTCTTCTTGATTGTAAACCGTTACCAAATTGGAACTCATCGTAGAACAGTTTGACTCAGCGGTCAGCCACGAGGCGCATGCACGACTTGTGAAGTAACAGTAGCCACCAAAATAACTCCATCTTGGCTGGCAAATATCTGTGATAAAGATATAAAACGACTGTGCAGTTTAGAAATCCCCACGCATTTGGTCCCTTAAAGAGTGCCTTTTCCACAGGCTTTCCCAGACCTTTATAGAAGTGAGAACAGAACAATCGAGAAGCGCAAAAAATGGAGGCAAGCAATGCGAGCGACTGGGGACGAGGCATCTTCACAAACATCATCCCAACTGCTTGTGAGACCAATACGCTTAGCAGGAGGAAAAGAGGAAAATAAAACTGACGACGCCAAATTGAGAGCATTTTGTACGTGGGATAATCAGTGGCAAAAACATCAAACGACTTCCAGGGAGCTAATATTTAAAACGATCGTCTTCCTCTGTTAATGAAATGACCCTCGTATCTGAGTTATCTCTTTATGCATTCATGATGAACTAGTTGTGATTAATCAGTACGTTCTTACCTGACAAGACAGTATATTATACTGAGAGAGGGTCGTACTTAGACTCGTGCAACTCTTTTAAACACACTCGAGCTCCTGTTGTGTTGATATACTGAAAAATGAGATATGGGACGATAAGAGTGCATTTGATAATGCACAGTTCCTTAATTATTTCGTCTTAGTCTCGACAATATAATGTAGTTTGCTATTGATTGCCGTTAATACTGTATTAACTACAGTTTTAACGACTAGTACTTGAGCCCCGTGAAATTAACCGGACACAACATTGTTAGCCAACAACTCCCAACATTGTTGGACGAGTGGGGGTGTGTTCAAGCAACTCGCTCGCTACACTATGAAGTACCAGGAATCTGATTTACATCTTGGTCTTTATTCGTCTTTGACTTCTGCTAACAACAATGTTGGGAAACGTTAGCCAACAATGTTGCGTCCGTTTGGACGAGGCTTAGTTTAATAGGGTTAAGGTATACGTCATTGGAATTGCTTAATAAATTAATGTAGTCAAAAGCGCTGGTATTAATGAGAATGAAACTAAGAAATGAACACTGCCTGTTGGTTCACTTACTTTGAACGCTGTGACTTAATTACACCCCTCCTAGAAATAACCCTTAAATGGTTCATTGCCGTGACAAAAAGTTTAACAATTCAGTTAGTTCACAAATACCCGCACCACTAACGCGGGCGCTAACGCCTCAAAGTTATTTTACAGCCC